TAACCATCAACTGAGGTGAAGTCACAACATCTTATAAAAGCAATGGTTCAAATACCTCATTAGCATGGCATTACAACAATTATAACAATTTTACTCCTGAAAGCATGAAAATGGAATGGTTAAGGAAGCAGTCTGATAAGGAGGAGGAATGGCTTCAAAACAACTAAGTAATGAAGTTACACAGTTGTGATGAATACCAATTCTTCCAACTTTTCTCAACAACAGATCTTGATTTTCACCTGATTTGTTTCTAGAATAGAGGTGTGAAATGATTCGGACTAAAGAGGAATGAATGCGCTGCTTACATTCAAAACAACAATCTTTTTTCAATTAAATTTCTGTTAATTCATTTTCTATCTGCACTTCATTGTATCTACTCTCAACTTTTTCTGCACCATTATAGTTTTCTTTAGATGTGTCTCTCAGCTAATCTTTCTTCCAGTAGTTGGCACTTCGTCTCCCCTTTCTTCACCTCATGGCTCATGCTTTGTTCTCTCAATGTGCATCCCCATCTCACAGAAATCTGCTCTTTTCTCACTCCATGCTCTCAGTACTTCACATTAGCATCTTCCCCCCCCCCCTTCTGTACTAGAGTTTGGAGTTAACAAGCACACAAGACTTTTACCCTACCAGCAATTTGCACCTGTGAAGGCAAGTGGTCCATTAAGGGCTACTAGCAATGGAGGCTGAATGAGACCTCCAAGCAGGTTGCCCAACTGTGCCAGGGGGGACAGCATCACAGGGGGACCTTCCAGGGCATGACAAACTGACAACTGTGGCAAACAGTATGCTGGACCAGATGGACCATCAATCTGATCCATAAGGATTCTTCTAATGTGTTCTGGGTTTTGAAGTGGCTATGCTGCTGTGCTACAAATAAACAGGATATACTTTCAGTAAGCACACTCAAAGAAAATGCAGACAGAAACCCAGAAAAAAAGTAGTATGGGAGGGGAACAATTTCATGAGCAAATTTCAAGAACAAATTAGTTATGTGATTTTAAAGGTATATATGGGGCCGGACGGAATAGGTACATACATGCACAATCACAGGAAATGTAACCTTAAGTAGCTGGAAGGACAGTCATGACATTCTGTCTAATTTCTTATGGGTTTCAAAAAAACCACCATTCTGCCTGAAGAAGCATTTACAAAGAGAAAAATGCACCTATTCATTACATTAGCCTAACCCTTCTGTCCTGCACAAGGTGTTCTCTAGATGAATGTACATCTTGTACAAAGTGCTCCTTACGTGAATATGGAGCAGACATAGAGTACCTAGACAGAGAAAAGAAGGTGAAGGGACAAAAGCTTTTACAAAGATTCAGAGCAAAAACACACATGTACAAACTAGTGTTTCAGTGTCATGTGAGCATGGTTCATTCCTTTCTCAGCGGGCCATTAGTGTTGACATTTTTGGTCCTATTTTTCTTGCAGAAATGGGGATTCCTTGCTTTACCTTGATCCAAGGAAACAAGGAACTTACCCACCTCTATATATGACGGTACAATAGGGTTTGTAGTACCTTACATCTCCATGAGCAGTCCCAGAAAAGACTTCTGCAAGAGAATGTGGATAGCTGCAGGACAATAGATAATACTGAACTAAATAAACCATTAATATGAATTCATATAATCGGTTCCTTAATCCTTCATGTTTTAATTAATAGAAAATACCCAAACATCATTAATCAAACAGAATTCAGGAACTTATTGAGTATCTATAGGAGAGTATAAAGAATTGAAAATGTTAACAATAAAAGCACTAGAGAAGACACAACCTTCTGCCACCCTTTATGAAAAGAAAACAGAACCTGGCACTTAGAACAATGAAGGGCATGGGAAAAATCCAATTAAGGGGTAAAATGTAACTTGATCAGATCACAGTCAAAACACTTCAGGTTAGAAACTGCACTGGGTTAGAAACTGCATCAAACAGAGAAGTGAAGTAAACAGGGACTATGTAAAGTTACAGTAGATGATTTCAGTGCCTGTTTGTTTTCCTGAAGAATGATGTTCTGATTTTCCTCCTGAATGCAAATATCTTTTCTCCAAGCTATGTATGGCCATGCTGACAGTATAAAAGACCACACATGACTAACAAAAATGGATCCATATTATTAAAATGCAACAATGTTCACACTTTGTATTTATTTCCAGTGGTGATCGTCCATGAACCTAAAGGTATCAGTAATCCTGTCTCATTACCAGAAAATGAGGAAAGAGTATTTTGGGTCAAGGGTATAACAGTGAACAGTGAATTATTGACCCCAAATAGTCACAGCAACTCAAAGCAGACAATACTGAGCTACAGAGACCAAAGGTTTGAACCAGTGTAAGGCAGCTTCATTTGTATGCTTCTTCTGAACTTGAAACATTTGGCAAGATACTAACGCACCAACAGAAGCTGTACAGACTGTGCATAGATCAAACTACACTCCCTGTAAATATGAATAAAAATATGTATCTGTTAGAGCCTACCTCCCAAGCCCACAAAGAGAAAAATGCCACAACTCTAGCTTCAGTTTACTGAAATTAGCATGTCTCTGTTTTGAGCATGTTCACATGAAACAAAACATGGCAAGTTCCAAGGTGAGCAAGACAATGAAAGAATGAGAACTTTATTAACTGGCTCCCAAAGACAGCCAGGGGACAACAAGAACAGCTCCTGGAGCTATGGAGACTCAGAACAAATATCGAGGGAGAAACAGTTCTATATAATCAATCATCATGCACAAATCATCCAGCACAAAGTGAGAACACGGGCAGTTCCACAAAAGGTGAGAGTTCTGGCCTGGCTGAGGGCAAGAATTATTGGAGAAATTAAGAACCCCAATACCTTTAAACAGGATGCACCCCACCTTTCACTTGTTTTGACCCAGCCATCTATTTAACTATTTTCTCTCTATGAAGCCTCCCCAGATGACTTTGGAGGGGAACTGTACTTGGTCAAGAGCTTTATAGATCTTCCTACCCTATTAAAGGAAATTTTCAGGTTCCAGAAATAATACAAGTGACTGCAGTGAGTGTCTGATCAAAGGTATTCTTCAAAACACCACTACTACTATCACCCTACCGAAATATCTACAATGTTTGTGGAAGATATTATTAGTCAGTTATATTTAAAGCCTATGAACATCTCCAGTCCACTTCTATGAAAAAAACCTACCTTATTTTGCTAAAAATATACCTAGGAGTATGGACAAATTTTACACTTATAGTTACTACTTTTGGGTTAGCTCTGCTCAACGAAATAGGTTTTTAAAGAAATAAAACTATGTACACTGAAGGACAGACTGTCAGCTTCAAGAGTGTGATAAGAGCAGAAAGATATAGAGGGGAATCATCCAACTACATAATATATTATCATCTGTCATGTTCACATGGCCATTTTTCACCTATAGTCTGGAACAGTGAAACGTTAATAAGCAGCTGGACTGGAGAGAATGGAATCAAATAAGAGCTACTGAACACTTAAATATTAGCCAAGCACTCTTCTAGGAATTTAAAAGCAGCAAAGAATAATGTACTGTGTTAATGTTCTGTGCATGCATAAAGCTGACAGCAACCTAGAAGACAAGTTAACCAATCACAGCAAACAAAAATTCAGACAGGTAATTCCCCCTACCTCACGGGAATTTACATGGCCTCACCAAGAGTACCCTGGCATGAACCTCCTCTATTATACAGTCTTTGATTTAGCTCTAGTGAAAAGGTCCACAGCATTATTATAAGGAAACACAGCAATCAGACAGCAGTGCTTCCTCTACACAAAATATTGATCTCTAGGCAAAGAGAACGGCTCGGTGGACAGCACAGTAGTCAGACATTTGGGTTTCCTTTTGGGTTTATTCTGCAGGAATACTACACTGTAGAGTTAAAAGCAAATGCTTAATTTATACTCAGCAATTTTCTACCTACTTGAGGCCACAGAACCTGACACAAATGTCCTACAGGAATTCACAGATGTTATTTATGCTTTAATCCTTTTAATCCTTGCAAATGTGTTTATTTTTAGTAATCTCATTTGGAAAAGAGCACTAAGAATGAGCATTGTAGCACTACTGATAACAATAAAAAGAAATAACAACTCCATTCATTCTAAACCCTTCTGCCATTCTGCTGAAAACTCTGAAGGTTAGCCCCCAAACTGCTGTAATTAAAACTGTAAATAAATTGCAGGTGATCCTGATAAATGACTGTGACAGCAAAGTGTACATTAAAGCCAAGAGCTCAAGATGAAAAAATAACCTGCGTGTCAAGCAGCTTGATCAATATAGTAATTGCTTTCCTGGTTTAAAGGGACACCAATACTACAGAAGGTTATATTGCTGCATCTTGTGCTGCCTAATAAAGGTGGCTATCTAATAAGCTCCTGCCAAATGATTCATCAATGCACAGGAACTGTGATGGGGAGGGTTAAAAAAATTATAAATAGGAAGTATATTGCTATGCATGCATACTAAATAACCCAATCGATGTAGTAATAGCTTCAGGCTATAGAGAATCACAATCTAGAGGAAAGATAATTAGTATTGTATTCTTGACACTAGAAACATGTGCTGAGGAGGCAATAGGTAAGCAATTAATTAGAAAAGAGGCAGAAGTTGATACTGAACAAGTAGTTGCAGAGTATTTGCAATAACTGCTGACATATATGCCCGGCAGCTATAAACCCCAGCTTACAACCTCCTGCATGTCACCCTATTACACACCCCTCTGAAAATGTTAGTGGGAACAAAAGCGAACCCCCTCCCCCCTTGCTTTGATCCACTTTTGTCAAATATAAATGACACATTATCATTATATTACTAAACACTGATGGAAATGCAATAATAACAATAATAAATTTAAATGCAGCACTGCAAATCACTTTAAATACATGATGTTCGAAATGCTGCCAGCAAATATACTATTCAGTAATTGCCCAATAACTGGCAAACTACCATTGCAAATTGGACAAGAGGCTGCTTTTCAGGAGAGTGTGCAGTTGTAATTTACCTGTCTCTTTGTCCTGTACTTCCTCCAGGTGTAAGTCATTCAGGAGGTGCTCCAAAATCTTCTCTGGTGTCCCAGATACTACCACATATCTGTCAGAAAGCAGAGAGTCCACAGAGTCATCCTCTGTTGAAGACTGAGAGCGGCTGCTCCATTCATCCTCCTCATCTTCTTCATCAATATATTTAAAATAAGGCACATCAAATGTGGGCAAAGGCAGCTCTCTGCCTAGAAGCAAGGCAGAATCCTTCCTTTCTACATGGGGGTCAAAGATCCTCAGCCTAGAACTTCCCATAATGTAGGGCAAGTAACAAAGGCATTCCCTACATGCTGATGTATCTTGCCATCTCAGTTCTGTTGCCGGTAGCCGAGTTCCTCTGGCTGCTGAGAGCTCTGCAGTCAGCTTGTGTGCGTGTGGCTGCGTCTGAGCACCCAAGGAAAAAACTCTTACCTCCAATCGCTCTCGGCACTCCCTGATGTGGGGGCTGGGCTATGTGACGACACTCTCCTAAGCACCAGCACATCTTGGTCCAGCTCCTTCACGTGAACAGTAGTCACTTCATCATCCAGCTTTAATTTGGAGAGAAGGACAAACAATAAAGAAAGAAAAATGAGTAAAATCTCCGGGGAGTGAAAAAGGGAGGGGTAGGGGAAGCCTCGATTAGAGCTGTGTTCTCCCCTCTTCCAGTGTGCTGCCATACGCAGCAGAAGCAGCCGCTGCCCTTGATTTACATGCTGAAGCTTCACAATGCACCAGAATTTGAGCAGATTTTTTTTTCCTTTCCTAGGGACAGACAGTCTGAGAGCTGCAGCTATGAAGAATGATATTCAAAACATGTTTTTAAATGGGGAGAGGAGGGATAATAATATATTCCTGTTTCCAGTCTTCATCAGGCTGCATGGGTTTGTTAGTAACACCTATTGATCATATGTTCTCTTTAGTGCATGTTACGTTTCACTAATGCTGTCCTTTGATTTAGCAGATCCTTTGATTAGTGACTAAACAGATCGAACTGTACTGTTGAGGAATATAGTCAGCCATAGAGTACTTCACAGCATTTTAACAACACAGTGTCCATGCTGTTAAGTAACTCATTCTTGGGGGTAGGGGAATAAAAACAATCCGGAAAAAAGGATTAATCCGTTCCTTGCATTTAACCTCGTAATCTTTCTAATTAATTTTTGAAACAAAAAGCCTATTAAAGGTTTGGAACAACATATAGAAAAAGTATACCTTGCAAAACTGACATTTGGGTTTCAGTGCTTAGTAGGCTGACACCTCTAAACTGGACAAAACTGAACACAGCTATATCTGCACACACAGGATTGGATCCACTCAGCTGTTCCACTGGTGAAAAAAGGAGGAGGGAGTCCCCTTTGACCACCAAAAAGACTATGCTGGGAATCATGAGACCCGCATGGACAAAAGCTATGTGGAATGGAGGCTGTAGTAAGGAGGGGAACTACATGAGATTTAGTGACAAAGCTTGCTGGATCCAACCCGTAATTTTATTGACCATCTCTAAAGTGTGAAAACCTGTGGCGATACAGTGCATACAGAAAATCTGCTTATTGTGTCAACAGTCTGCAGTGACACATAGGTAAAGGTAAAGAGCTCTCCATTAGTCCCATCTGAGACTCTCCTAACAGAACCCCAATGTGACAAGAAACAGTTCTGATGACATTTAATTAAGTTAAATGCTTAATAGTAGTGTTTTTCAACATTCTTATTGTTTAATATGCTTGATGCTTCTTTCTATAGTCTGAGATAATAAAGCCAATATGCTTGATGCTTCTTTCTATAGTCTGCGATAATTAAGTAGCATCAAATTGGTATACAATTATACTGCAACAGAAAATTTATGTTTGATGAAAACAGCAATATTGCAGAGCAATGTCATTTTATGGTTAACCTTTTTCTTCTCCATTATAATCTTAATGGCATGAAAGAACTCTCAAGCTAATCACAGCAGCAGAGCCACGCTCTGTTAGATACCAGAAGAACCTGTATATAGATGTGGTCTTGCCCCAAAGAGCTTTTAATCCATGAAAATCTCTGTTCATTTATTAAGCTCATATACATATTATACAGAGAGAGAGAACTGAGGGGGTTGTGTATAATTATTAATTTTTTGACATGTCCAACATGCAGGTACTGAGCCAATTAACAAAGGATATTTGCTGAAAATTCCCTAAGGACATTAGCAAGACATCATGTTACAGGAATACTGATGCATAATTGTAATCTTCCATTTCATGGTATACGCTTTTGTAGCCTATACATTTGCAGCACTGCCATAAAAGAATGAGATAAGAACAGTCTGCAGCCTAAAATTACTCAGTTAAGAGTAATTTAAGGCACAGTTTTACCATTTTTTTTTTCAGTATAGCCATCAGCTCACATATCCCTCCCACCACCACCTCATTCATAGACATTGAATTAAATCTATAGGAACATGTCAATATTTTGGTATTATTTTCCCCAGATGCACACTACTGAATCTCCAATCTGGAAAAAAACACATGTAAATAGATTAAGTTTGCTTAACCTGGTGATTCCTTATTAAGACTTCATTTTTTCATTCCTGGAATTTATTTATGTACTACTGTACTAATATCTTTACCCCATAAAGTTATGTAAAATAGTAAGATGTAGCATGCTGCATGTGAATTGGAGCTTTCCAGCTCCCTTTTCCCATGGCAGTGCCTACAGCTCTTGAGAAGCCTCTGATGGTCAGTAGTTTCTAGGAGAACCACCATTCAAGGCATGATGGGCCAAACAAAATAATAAAAAATTATCCTTCCCCTTGTATATGTGCAAAGCACTTCCACATACGAGCCTCTCTAAATCCATAGTTAATTTTCTGTATTAATATAACCAAAGCACAATAAGTACAGTCCAACCGAAGTTAAGCACTTGAAATCCCGTTCATTTCAATGGAAGAGTTAAATACACAGTTAGATTTTCCATGTTGCAATAACAGTGCTTAATACTTTGGTGAGATCAAGTTGATAGATTTCACTGCATCAAAATTCTGTGCACAGAAGTGCACTTTCCCTCCCCCTACCACTTCTAAAGTTGCCCCTGAAATGTTGCAGGGGATGGGAGACCCCCAGAAGCAACAGGGCTGCCAGAAGAGGGGAAAATTCCCCCTGCTCTAGTACATACAGATCTTATCACTGGAATCCAACCCAGTACAAATGCTTATGTACTGAACTGGAGCTCTTTTTAGATTATGTTTTAACCTGTATATATCTACTTTGAGAACTGGAGGAATATCTATTATCCAAAGGACATCTCACCTAGTCAGGAAATAAACCACACACACACAAAGAAATATACAGTTACTAAAAGGGCAAACTTGAAATGACTTCCATTTATGTTGCAACTGATCTGAAAACAGCATATACAGTCTATTCATCCATTTTACAGCATAATTTTGTCAGAATATTTTCCTTTCCTGTAATCTTAAATGGTAAAATGAGCTGAACCAAAATGACAGTTGCAGACAGAACATGACCCTGCCAATTGAAGTAGCAACATGAACAAATGATAGATAAAAGCCTAATTCAGGCAACAACACTAACTAAACAAGGCATTGGAGCTACAAAAGCTCATACATTCTCTTTTTGAATCACAAACAGATTTCAAAACAAAAAGAGAGCTGTTCTTTGTAATAACAGGTAGTATGGGAAACTGTTCCAAAATGTACAGACTGTTGGACACATTCATTAACAAAAGAAAAAGGCTGTGCAGAAAAGTAAACTTTTGTTTTCACAGCTGCATTTGCTAAAACTGACACAGCACACCTAGGTATCGCAGATGCATCTAGTTGCTGATCTGTTCTTTTATCTTCCCACAATTTGATGCTGGTAACAGGGCATAACCTTGAGTGATAAGGCAGGGTACATTCAGAGAAGAATGCTGACGGGTTTTGAAGATACCAACAGCCATTCCATGACGGAGAGCCCCTATCTAAAAACAGCATATTCAGGAAAGAAGTCAGGTGCCTTAAACATAAATTGAAGGCTGGATAAAGCATGAAAGACATTTAAATCCAGCTTTGTGCACCATCCTTATACAAACATTCCTAGCAGATTCAGAAAACTTGAAATAAACACAAAGTTTTAAAAAATAATAATACAGATTCAGAAAACTTGAAATAAACACAACGTTTAAAAAAAATAAAATAAGGCGATTGTTGTGTTTGAGGACATTTCTAACTTCCTCTACCAAAGGTTTATGATGCCCTGAATATGAAATCCTTCATACCTCACACATTAATATAAACAAGCAAAGAGGTGCAATACAAGGTTCAATTTGCTAGAGACAAGAATAAACTCTCTAAGACAGCATTCAGACTGGTGGACTTTCAAGCTACTAGCATTGGTGTTTATTTTAGGAGACAGAAGAATGAGAATGAAGTGGAGTACACTGCGTATTCCATGACTCCTTCAGCATCTTTAATGCCCTGCTTCCAAAATTTCACATGAAATCTTGTATCATGTTAAATACTTCTATGCCTAGACTGCTCTGAGTGCACGCTCCTTCACCCAGCTACTGTTCCACGCACCTTCTTTCATTGCCTGAACCTTCTGCTTTCATTCTGAATTTGAGCGATTACGTCAACCAACTATCCATCATAGCTATACAATTCTTCCTTGCTAATTTCCTTTGCCGAAGTAAAATCAGTCTCAGTCTTAACGCTGACTCTGTCCCCCCCTTCCTCCTCATACCTACGACTTCATGCAGCTATGTATCATTTTATGATTATTGACCAATGCGGCACCACAGTCACTGGGTGTGTATGAATTCAGCTGCACATACGACATCTGCTAAGGGGGATAAAACTACTCCAAGAGAAGGAAACACTAAAAAAGCATAAAGGTTAATACTAGGACAGCGGGAGCCAAAATGAATGAAATGTGACAAGAAATGGGATGTACACATAGAATTCCACAGTGTTCTATGTGCAGTAAGTAGCAACTGCCAAGTCTAACTCTAGAAAGCAAGCATACTTGTTGCATGTGTTGACTTGGCATGGGAGACTGAGCCCATTTGGTCATGCTACAGACCGATCACCCACTTTCTCAGTTAATAGGCAATCCACTCTCATGCTGTTAATATATTCCTAGCTTGCAATATAGGTACCACCTGTGTATAACATAGCCAGTCAATACAGTTAGCACCTGGACTAAATTCAAAAGGCTTTAAAGTACAAGGCCTCCTTTTGCAGGAACAGCAGGCATATCCTGATACATTCTGAACATCCAAGCTTCTAATGTCCTGGCCCCATTGGTGGACCTCCTGATGGCACCTGGCATTTCCGGCCACTGTGTGACCCAGAGTGTTGGACTGGATGGGCCTTTGGCCTGATCCAACATTGGCGTCTCATGTTCTTATATTCACAACACCAGAGTCACAATAAACAAAGCAATAAAATAGCATGCAATTATATTCTTCAGGAATAATTGGCTTCTTTTGGGCCACTCAGGATAAAGAAACTTGAATTACTGGATCAATTTGCTACATTTCCTCCAGGTTGGACTGTACTTATGCTTTGGTTATA